CAATTCATACAAGTTTTTGAAAGAAAAGGTTTACTTTTTTAAAATGAAGTGTTTTAAAGGATTTTCTCATTTTTTGATAAGTAAAAAAATAAAATAAAAAATGATTTTAAATGATAACAAATAACAACAAATAACCTCAAATGACATCATTTTTATTATTAAATAATTATATCATATTTTCTAAAAAATCATGATTTTAAAATAGCCAATCAAAATTGATTGCTAAAACTAATTATTAATTTGCCTTTGTAATTCCAAAACTATTAATAAATCCCTGAAACTCTGAAACATATTTTGGGTTATAGTTAAAATGTTATCTTATTTCTGAAACTACTGAAATTAATTTCAGAGTTCTGGAGTTTTGGGGATTTATAGTTTCAGCTGAACGTGTAATTATTTTTTTGACCTTCAGATTGGGTCAGATCGGATACCTGACCTGATTTAAAATAAAGATTTTATATGTGAATCAAATCACATATCCAATCGATCTGCTAAAATATTTGATCTGTGGATCAGATCAGGTCAAGTATATATATATATCAGATAGCTTTTTATCTAACTTGAAAAAAATATGATGGGTCAGGTCAAGTTAATTACCCAACCTGACCTAAGCCTTTCAGAACTCTAATTCGAGATTGCTAACTATGACTACCTATAGCTTACTACAGCTAAGACATTTAACTTTACTAAATCTATATGCTAAATTTAATTAATCTATCAAGTATGAAAACTTAAAAGATGAGATTATAAATAATTAAAAAATTCAGATGATAAACTCAATTACAAATTATTTATAAAAATCATAATAGTTTATATGAAGATACAATAAGGTAAAAAGATTTAAGTTTTAATTAATTTCTTTATTAATATTAAAACTTGTATTCACAAAGAGTTAATTTATAACATGAGTAAAAAGTCTATCTATTTATACAAAATTTCTTTTATTTTAGCCAACTATTAACTATATTATAAACTAATTAATTTAGCAAATAAAATATAAGTTAAATAAATATACTAAAAATAATAAAAATTTGTAAAATAATAAAATGTATAATATAATAAAATAATAATAAAATTAAGAATAAATATAATATTAATATTTCTAGACTTTATTTAATTTATAAAATTTAGATTTTTATCAGTATTTAAAAGATTTGCAAAATTACGTAGATCTTTCATATTTTTAGAATTTGCAAAATTCTCAATATTTTAAGAATTCTAAATTAGAAGCTCATCATACTATAGAGAATAGACAAAAGTATTTGTACACCATCTATAAATATAAATTAATGCTAGAAAATTCATATGACTATAATAACAAATTGTAATAATATAATATTTTAGTATTTATTTATATTAAAAACATAAAAAATAACAATTTATTTTTTTTTATAAAATGATTAGACAAACCCTTCATTCAGCTAAATTAAAAATTATGTTATAAAGAAAAAAAACCATTAATTTCATAAGCAAATATTGAAATGTGTTTTAAATGATATTTAGAATATCAAAGTTAAACTAAAGCAGATTAGTCAAAATCTTATGAAGTGATAAATACACATTTTCTCAATTTTAATAAAGCCACTCTATAGATGAGGGACGAAACTCCTTAATAACAGTCGAAACTTAGACGAAACTATATTTAAATCATAATAAGGGATACGACGAAACCCATTCGATACGACGAAAGCCGAAACTGTCGAAACTATATTAAAAACATAGAAAAGGGTATGACGAAATTATTTTGAGGAGGTTTCGGCAGGCATCTATAAGCCACTCTAATAAGATTTAGCATAAACTAAAAGATGAATGAACTTTATTCTGTATTATAGCTATAGTAAAATATAGCTTAATTAAATATACTGAGGCTGCTTTTTAAGAAAAAGCATAAGGCTAATTGTTCTATTATTTGGAATAACAACTAGTAATTCATATATCATCATTTTTTGTAATATATTATTCTGATCATAAGAAAATCTTCTCTAAATAATGGTGGTTAGTTTCAAGAAGATAATGTTTAGCCTCATAAATCAAAGATTGTAATATTTTTTAAGCGAAAAACAATCTTCATATATTATTTTAACTAGCTCAAAGTTCTAATCTCAATCCAATTGAGAATCTTTAAGCTGAAGTTAAGAAACCATCTAAGCTTATAAAAAACCTCTATCTAATCTTGATATACTAAAAAGGTATGACAATAAATTTCAAAGTATACTATCAAAAATATAGTCAATAGTATACTATAATAAATTCAAGTTGTGATTATAGCAAATGGTAATCTAACTAAATATTAATACTTAGTATAAAATTTAGATCTTAATCAGTTTTAAATAAAATATTAATTGATCTTTCATTATTAGTATTTAAATATTTGTAATTTTATATTAAATGAAAAAGTATGCAAATACTTTTATCTATCTTCTATATATCATTTATTTGACTTCTTATTATTAGTTAATTGCTCTATTAACAATATAGACAATAATACTTGTGTGTTCTTAATATTAAATCATTTAATACATAATATGAAAATAAATTAGTAATTATAAAAATCAATATTTATTATTATTACTAGTAATTACTGATAATCATTTTTGTAATTTATTATATTTGAAATCATCTACTATTATAAATAGTATTCTTTGTTTTTCATTGACCTCTTTTATTAACCATTAAACTTTTTTGAAAACAATTCCAAAAATTTTTTAAATGAATCAATAAGAATCTATTAGTTGTTTTAATAAAAATCCAAGTTTATATAATAGCTTCAATATTTTGTTCAATATTAGGATGTGGAGATCTAGTTCAAAATTCATACTACAATATAATAGATTATTAAATTAGAAATTTTTTTATTTAGAAATCATTTTTCTTTACTTTTACCTTCAATTTCTATTTTAAGGTATTATATTATGACATCCTATATTGCAAAACATTATTCTTCATACATTTAATTTATGCTCACTTAGTTGATAATCAACAGGATATTATTGCTTTATATTACTATGTAATTTAATTATTTTTCCCTGTTTCTGCCATTTATCTAAAAAATTATGCTAATTTACATGACTACTAGTTCGTCTCTTTAGGTAATAAGAAAAACTTTTTCTATAAGAATATTATTGTCCCATTCATCTAATGAACAAGAAGGTGTAGCAAAAATTAATTTTTGTGACAAATTATTTTCTTCCATATAGTATCTTTCCAGTAAATTTTATCAATTCAACCAACTTTGCAGATTTAAAATATTCACTAAAACTTTCTCCCATACTAAATCAGGTGTACTTTCATAATATATTTTTTTTAATTTTTGTTTTTTCATTATAATTAACTTACATGTATCATCTTCAAATTTTTGAAGAAATAAAAAATGCTATTTTTCTAATTGAAATGAAAACTTGATTCCACAAGATTTCTTATCCAAGCCATAAGCAATAGCTGCCGCAGTTGTTTCATTAATTATACGAAGTAAACCCAACCCCGGCATATTCCCATTGACTATTCTTAGATTTCGCAATTCCAAACACAAAAATATGTACTAACTTAAGGTCAACAAATATGGACGAAATAGAACTCCTTCATGTAGTTTTTCATAAATAGCTGGTTTATCAAATCCCATTATTAGGGAACCAGAAAATTTGGTTTTATTGCGAAACATTTTTTGATAAACGGTAGATATTGCGTTCATACTAAAATTACTTGGTTCGTCAGTATAAAATTCCCACAGTCACTAAGATATCCTGGGCATTCAGAATGTTCTTTATTATCCTTCACAACTGTTTTAACAAAATTATACCCTTTTAAAAAGGTCATTTTTTTCATACGTAAACGAATTGGAACCAGAAATTCTGTTTCCTTATTACAAGATATCCATCGATTGGCCCCGAAATGCAATTCTGCATCAATAACTCCACTGAAATTAGGAAACATCATAGTCTTTACGGTTACTCATTTAGAACAATGTTTAATTAGTACAGTTAGGTATGGAAAGAGAGATTCTTTTATTTCATATATACTGTATTTATCTCTGATCGACATTCATTAAAATTACCGATTTTCTCCGAATTTTTATTTTATTATTTTCGTGGTATATTTATCGCCAACTTAAAAATATTCAAAAATGGGAAAAGCTAGCAGATCAATAACCGCAACAATTGCAACAAACTAGAGCTTGAGGCTGTAATATCTTGAAGCTAAATTCATGAGATTCGAATGAGGTATTAACTTTTCTCGTAAGTTTTGTCTTAAAAAGTATAATCTCTATAATTTTTTTCGTTTAAAGGAGAAGAATGATGACCTTTATTTTTTTCGTTGGTGCAACGATGCAGATCTTGGATCGAAATCGATGACCAAAAAATTAATTAAAGAAATTTCTTTTTAAATTTTTTAGGACCAATTGGGACCAATTCGATTTTATCAACAATCCAGAATTTTGACATTTTATTTAAATTACATGAATAATATTCATTCCATTAAAAATTTATTAAAGGCAAAGTTATTTCTCACAACAATTCAACTTTTCTAACTCATCTTTAAAATAAAAAAAAATTTATAAAGATATTATAATAAAAAATTTTTGAAAAATTTAATTCGTAGAGGTAGATAAGTGAATCACATGAACTCTGGAATGTAAATTATGAACTTCATTATAAACTTGCGTTCATTTCAACATCTTTCGCTTTAACAGTTGTTGTTCGTATTACTGTTGTTGTTGCAGTTACTGTTAAGCAAAACAAGCTATTGTATTTGTTACTATCGGATTTGATTATAAAAACAATTTGAAATAATTTTAATAAATTTGAAAAGTGAAAAAGAATTTTTTTGAAACCGCAAAAAATTTTAAACTTTTTCTCCTAATGTCAACGTCATTGTTGGAGTATTTTATGGCGATTTAAACTGAAGAAATCTAAATTCTTTTTTCTTTTTTTTTTTGTGTTAAAAACGATTTTAAAAATATTTGCGGTTTAGTTTCATTACTTTGAGTATTTAAGTATGAATGTCAATTAATAAATGTTTAATTATGGAAAACTCATAAGAGTTAGTTCTCAAGGAAAACTTTCATTTCAGCGTAATGTTAAATCAAATAATATAATTACTAGTAGTTTGAATTGAATTTTATGACATGAATAGGAAATTCGACGATAATCAGACGACTTTTACTTTCAAATATTTTTTTTTTAAAACAAATGATTAGTATTTATTAAATTAAAAAAGAACTTTATTACACAAATATAAACAAGTACATATATTTTTATTTTTTTCTAAATAAAAATACTACCAATTTGAAATTAGAGTATCAATAGAATTTGAATAAACTATTGTTCTATTGTCCATTTTTTTTAAAAAAAAAACCCAAATAATTTTTTGTTATCAAGAAATAATTTGAATTTGACGTTGCTCAATATTAAATTTTTGTCAATTTCTAACTGGACTTTCAAGAAAAGACAGTCAGTTCCATTTCGGTTCTGCTTCGATTCTCCTAAAATTAAAACTTTAAACGTTAAGTTAAATATTTAACCAAATAGAGCAATGTTTAATTAGTGCTCCGTAAGGGTTTGAAGCATATTCGAACTCGAACCCGTTAATAATTACATAACCCGAGATTCGACTCGACCCGATCATTGTTCGACTCGAATTTCAAGGGTAATATTAACTCCGAAATTAAAAAGCGTCGTATATAGTTTATTTTACAGTATTTTAAAATTGTTTACTTATTATTTTTTTTGTTGACATTAATTTCTATTTTTTTTTTTACATTTTTTTTCCATGGATTTTTATCAGGGTGATGACGTTCAAAGTGACGCCAAAGATTTGTTGTATTAAATCACCAATTTTGCGAAGCCATGTTTTATTACCTCTAAAATATTTTAAATAAAAAAGATATAAAAACCTACATAATATACTATGTTTTCTTTTTAAAAAATGTAAAAGAATACATACGAGCAATTAAGACAACGAACTTCGCGATGAGTACTTGAAAACTTATGTTCCGGCGGAAGAAGGACGGATTAAATTAAGCATGAATAAACCACAAAGCAAAAAAACCCCTTATCCTTTTCCTCATTATGGGGAAATTTATTTAGTTTAAACTTTCTCTTCAAAAAGTACTTTGACAAAAAGTTCACTCCGCAATTTTTTTAGAACTTTCGGTAACGTATATATTGGTAATGTCTATAGTTTCACTCATTAAATTATTATTTGTTTACAAATCCAAGTCGCGTAACGTAAATTAGTCTAGCGCGTAATTTATGATCACTGATCATCCGGGTCACCCGGGTCATCCGGGTCAAGGAAAAACGTGACCCTGACCCGACGGGTTTTATCGAATTAGGACTCGTGTCATAAAAATGATAAACCC